ATAATGGCCCTGTCAGCAATGGGATGCGGCGTGTTTTCCAGGGACTGCCCGTCTTTCCCAGAGAATGTCAATGTCTCGAAGCGTATTTTCTTCGGATCTTTCTCCAACGGAGTGTCCAATGGTAGGGAGAATGCGCCGCTGACTCGTTCGCCACGGCCAAGTGGTGTCGACTCATACGCGAGTTTGTTTCCCTGACAGATGCGCGGCTTTCCAGGCATTGACAGAGGCGGTTGAGCAGAAACCTCGAACCATGAATTGTCCAGCGATTGAACTGTCCAGGCATCTTGGGGCACGACCGCGCTTCTTATCCATCCAAGGCACTCCTTTGTATCTTCCAAACTGGCCAGGACCCGGCCGACAACGCACTCTTTGCTCCACCAAGTCATTCCATTGTACGCAAATCCACCATAGAGGTTTGCAATGGGCCCTAGTTTTGCGAGGGCATCTGAGTCATTCTCCAATATCGTAGCCATCAGGAGGTGGCTGATCTGCTCCCCGGGAAATACAAAGCCGGACAGCCAGCTCCGGGTAATCCAACCACCAAGCTGCACAGAAGCCGTCTGATCTTGAGAGCAGTGGAGGGCTATCCGTCGGCGGGATGGGCTTCTGGTATGCATTTCTTCTTTACTAAAAGCCGCACCAACTTCTGCGGGCAGCATATTGCACACGGGCTTGTTATATGCATTAGCAACTGCTTCACTCAGTTGACCCGACCCAATCGCAGACTCCAGGCGCGCTCTGAGTCCATCAAGTCCTGGCCAGCCAATTTCTTGGCCAAACACAAGGAGCCCTTGGAGCTGCTGGTCAAGATATGTTGGGACCAGGTTGCAATTCCAGGCGGACTCGGTGGACTCGGCGGCAGAGCCAGACAGCGATCTATGGAGCAAGTTTTCGAAGAAAGAGCGAGGGTTCTTCTCATGATGCCTTTCACCCCTCGAGTGAACCGTTTGTTCTACAGGGTCGACGCCAGGTTGGTCAGGCTCGTCCGCCCTGTAGCCGATGTCGAATGTATCCATAAAGCGTCGTACCACCACCAAGTCCCAGTCTACTTTACCACTCCGTAGCTTCTCGAAATCATCTATGTCTTTAGCGGTGATTTGCAACTCTTTGGAATTATCTAGAATGCCCACCCGGACAGTAGCATCGAGACGGAGAAGTAGTTCCGCGGCGAGGAGCATCTGAATAAGGAACCACCTGCGCTCGAGTGTTGGATGCATCCAGGGTTTTGAGCACGTAGAAGGGTCCAAGAGATCACCATCCGGATGAGGACCGGCCTCCCAGAGCAACTGCCCTGCATAGAGACGCCACTCGGGAAGACTAAAATCCACCCACGCACCCCTTGCGGCGAGGGTCATTGTCAATGCCCTAATTTGAGATTTGAGACAATAAGCCAGGCTGGAGTCCGCGAGCAGAGGCTTGGAAGGGGGGTAGAGGAACTTGGTGAATAGGCCGCTGTACAAGTCCCGCGTAGATTCGGTATCAAGGATTGTGGTTGCTTTCTGTCCGTGTAATAGCTCACGACGAAGGTCTGTTAACGTCCGCAGGCGTTCCACTAAGCATTGTAGATTGATGTCCCGCACGCCAATCTTTTTCCAGGCAGATGGGCCATCACGGAGCAGCTGTTTCCGGTCATATGCAGCGCCCCAATTAACTTCATGGTAATGCTCCATCATTTCATAAATCTCCGAGGCCGGAATCGAGGAAAGTTGTATGTAATTCAATCTGATCTTTGGTTCCTCAGGATAACGCACAGCATCAGCAACCGGGAGCTCTAGGAAATGACGAAACCCAATAGTTCCTGGGTCCTGCCCGTTCATTGACAGCATGTTTGGTACTTCAAAAATTCCAATGTCGAAAGTCGCTCTCTTGGCGCCTCCGGTCTTTCTCCAACTATTGAGATGTATCGGCTCGTCTTTGGAGATTACCCACCTGTCAGGAACAGGTAGGTGGGCATGCAACGTACATACAGTATATGACGGATGGGGTAGTGGCTTTCTGTCCCACAGGTTCTGGATAGTAGGATCGTGGTCATCGAAGGGAAAGATCACCTGTGGGTAGTGATGATCATACTTGCCTCTTTCGAGGAGGAAGAATGGGGCTCCCGAGAAAAGAGTCTCAATGTCTTCTTTGCTGAGAGCGTATCCTGGGGACGACGTGGCATCATGTTTACCCTCATGGTTGTGCTTTTCTGCAGATAATCCATGCGCCGGCGGTGAGCTCTGGGAACCCGTGTGGTATTTTGCAGCTGTTGCCGTGGATTGGTTAGAGTGGTTTGCACGAGTCTGTTTCTACGATCAGATCCATTCCAAATTCTCTCATCTGACGGAGTATAATAAATCAAAGAAGGAAAAGCTTACAGCATCATGGTCCCTCTCCGCTGTCGACACCTCCATTTCCGAATCATCTCGATGCCTCCGGAACAGATCTTGAAACACGTTTCTGTCGTGAGCGCCACGACTCTGACTCGGCGCGTTTGGAACAGATGCCCTTCTTCTCAATCTCAAATTCGAGTTGCTAGGCACGCCATTGTCTTCTGGTGGCGCCCCAGAGACGGAATGCCGACGGCCGAAAAAAAAAGCCATCGTCTCCTTCGTGTCGATGTATGTTAGGGTAATTTGTTTCGCATTCCTATGCTTAGTTTATGGCTGAGAAAGGATTCCCTAGCTGTTCGGCATGCCGAGGTAAGTCGGCTATGCGTTGGTGCCCAAAGATAAGTGGATCCTCAGTCGTGGGAATTGACTGTCAAGCGATATCCTCGTTTACATGGTGAAGGGCCATCTCCTGAGTCGACGCTTTATATATAAATCGCCACTGAATCGTTGAAGGGACAATTCAAGATCTAGACTAAAGGAAGAAGTTGAGTTGAAATGACGGGAGGTGATAAATCGATGACGTCGGGCTAACTACGGGCCGACTGATGTTACCTGATCCAGTAAGAACCTCAGGGACCGTTTTATCTTCATGGCCTGACAAGGAATGGGGCAATAGACATCCGACTCCCGATTTATGCGCTAACCGGGCCGACTTGCATTAATATACGTAAATACACAATGTACCGTATAATAAACAGCACTGTGGCATGGTCTGGTACTTTGAGGTTGATGGACCCTGATGTCAACCAAATCAATCTAGAATACCCACGCCCGCCACTGTTTATGCAAGAAGGTAAATCGAAAATATGTGCGTTTTTCTTTTCTTTTGGAGACATTAGACTAAAGTAACATCAAGGCATCAGTCATTAGATTTTCCAAACTCCCCCACGGCTATTTAGTCTAATTCCATCCCTTAAGCGTGCTTGTGGAGGAACTCCAAAGCAGTCTTGTATCCTCTCTCGTACTCCTTGCGGACTTCGGCATCCTCGAGATTCGAACGGGCTGCCATCCAGCCGTGGATCTGAGTGGAGAAAGTCTCAACGTAGTTCGCGACCTTCAGGTTGGAGCCGAAATCCTGGACATCCTGGGGGTTCTCATCCTTGGACGCGAGCACGGCCATGGGGATGGCGACCGACTTCGCATCATCTGGGGCGAGCATAGCGGGGTGGCACTGCACGGCGGCCTTGAAGATCTGGTTGTCCTTGCCCGAGACCAGGGCGGTGATCTTTCCACCCCAGCAGTAGCCCAGGATGGACCAGGACTCGAAGCTGCCATTTTGGGCAAACTTGTTAGCTTCCGATACAACACCTGGGATCTTAGAAATGGTGCTGGGGGGAGCGGCCTTGGTCTGGAAGAAGTTGCCAAGCTTCTGCTTGTGTTCCTCGGTCTGGGGAGGGAACCAGGTGATGTCGGCGGGCTGGCCTTCGAAAAAGTCGGGCATGAAGACCCGGTACTTCTGCTCATTGGCAGTGGCGAGGATGTCAGCACCCTGGATGGTCTGGTCGAAGAAACCAAAGATGTCTGTTGCCTTTTCTTAGCTACCTGCGAGCTGGGTGTGGACGGCGAGTAGATTTCACGCACCGTAGATGACTAGGATAGCCTTGGAAGCATTCTCCGGGCCGGTGACATCTGGGAGCTGTCAGTAAGAAACAATATACCAAGCTACCTAGAGTGAAACATACATGTCTTCAAGCCATTGATGGTCTTGTATTCACCCTTGGCCCGGTAGTCCTTGGAGACAATGGGAGGGATACTGCAAATCATCAGGATGGTTCGATACTGCCCAATTCGGAGAAAAGAAGACTCACGAGCAGCAGGCTTTGCTAACACCAGACATGGCGGCAGAAGGGCAATGGAATGGTCGAAATGAAGATGGCGGCGTTTTCACCGATGAGAGGGACCTTCGCAGAGGAGATGTTAGAAGCTGTTTGTAGAACATATTTAGTAAGGAAATAACGCACAAAGAACCAAGATAGGACAATTGGTGACTGTCAAACTTGTAATAGCCAAAGGAAGTTGCTGAGTGTGGTAAGAGAGTTATTTCGAGGGATGAGAGAAGGAAGACCAATGTTTTTTGACTAAAGTATCCGAGGTATCGCGTTAACCCCACCTGGATTACCGACGTCATCGCCGCGACATCTCGGCAGCGTCTACGGTAACCCTCAATTTAGCTTTGATATCAACCCATTTCTCCATGATAGCTGATGTTTTTAGTATGTAGATGTTCAGAATTATATTCTACAGATTCCCAAATTCAAGACTACCCGTGAAGACTGGCGTTGGAATCGTGAATTCTTCTCCTACGCTGGATGAACGAATACCCGCGAAATGTGGGGTCTTGATACACTCACCCAGACCACTTTCTGCTGTACAATAAACTAATCAGAATATTTCTCAAGATAAAAGACTCTGCGGTTTCATGCAGCGTCTAACATTAGTGGTTATCCTTCTTGTTAATCTAAAAAGAGCATGTCTGAATCTCGTGTCCGTGAGAAACAAATCATGGTATAAAAGTTATATTCAGAATTCAGACTACAGCTGTACGTAATGGACATAATAAGAAACGTATAAACCATTTACCCGTCCATTCATGCAACGTAACCTCATGCCATCCATACTATAACCATTCTCACCCAAATGAATCCTGGTCAGTCTATCACTGATAATAGCACAAGCCACCAGTAGCTCTCAAGTCATCCATCGACGCCATCAATACCCTTTCTCGCCAGGAAGCCTCACATCCTCCCAGCCCCGCCCATCCCCAATACCCGGCAAACTCTCCTCCCTCCGAATACCCTTCCACTCGGTCACATTCATCCACCCAATCCGCTGGAACCCGCCGAAGCCACCGATCCAGTAAACGTGAGTGACAACCATGCGGACCCAGTGGCTTCTGTGCGGTGAGCCCGGCCGCTCCGGCAGCCACACCCGGGCATCGGGGTGAGCTTTAAGATAGCAAGACCGAAGAGCCGCCTCCGTGTCCTCCGGGGCAGGGTTCGGGAAGGGCTCGACGTACCCGAAGAGAGTAACGCGGGGGAGACCGGCAGGGCTGAGCGGGAAGCCGGGCCAGAGCGGCTCAGTCTCATTCAAGTGGTCCCACCAATCGAGGGTGATGCTGATGTTAGAGCCTGCAGCAGTGTTGCGGAAGGTGGTTTCGACTTCGAGGGCGAGGAAGGTCGGGTCGCCGTTGCCGCCGTTACCGCTTGTAGGGGGGAGGGCCTCGTCGCAGTCTGAGACGTATTCTTTCTGGCTGATGGATAGGCCGGCCACAGCGGCTGGGACGTGAACGTCCTTCGGGTTGTGTGAGAAAATGGTGGAGGCGACACCGGTGGTGGAGAGAGCGAGGAGTCGGCGGGCCATCAGGGTGGAGGTGAACCATGATGGTGCGGCTGCTGCCTCTGGATCTTTGTCGAAAACGTCAACGTTGTTCTCAGAGGTCGAGGGAAAGCTGTAAGTATCGCCTAGGACTGCCTGGTCGGGGGAGGCATTTTCGGCAGCTGAAAGGGGGACCGCTACAGCTTGGAGGAAGAGCAGAGCTAGTGTGGAGACGAGAGCGAGACCTCGGTCAAGACCCTTCATGATGAGCGTTCGCCTTGAATATAAAAAGGCGAGGTGTGTATAGTAGGGATTTAAAGCAGAAATGGAGCTTTGAAGAAAGGGATCTGTTCAGCAGGAAGCTACGCCAAGAATCCTCCCCTCACATTGGAATCCGGATGGTCTGATGATCAGGGTAACAGTGAGGGGAACTGCAGCAACGCTGGATCTTGATCTTATCTGATCACGCTAGGGTGTATATAGTTAAGCGTGCTATTCACCTGACTAGGGCAACTTCCGACTCCATCCGGAGGTTCCGGCACACTCCGGCATTGCGGCCTGCCTCAGGCTGCCATGTATGACAATGACTCACCGGTCGTTTGCAGCGCCACGCGATCGTCCGATGCTCACCGAAACATAGAGAACTGGAATAGCCGTTTCAGTGACTCATGGCCTCTATCACGAGACTATGTCAGATACGAGTCGTCGCCTCGTGTGGAGGACTGCCAGCTGGTTCCATGGTTCGGCCGTCTCCTTGCATAAAGACGATGATGACCTAAGGCAAAAGAGGGCATCACGACCGACCTGTAGTCACACACATACAACATACAATGGAAAGGAACGCTTACTAGGACCAGAGAACTCCTTCAAAGAATATAATATGCATTGTAGAACACTAAATCCGCCGCTACACCGTCGACCGAGATGACAAACAACCAAAGAGAACAAAGCACAAAAAGAAACCCTGCCATTGCCGCACACTCCAGTTCATGATAGTAGTAATAGTAATAAATATCCACGATATGGAACAAAGTAAATGATAAAAGATAGTGATAAAACCTCCCCGTCGTAGATCATACACTAGTGGACTGCGGGTTACAGGACCACTGCACCAGACAGAGGTGGGCGCAGACTCCGTCGCAGAATTCCAACCAAATCCAACCAACACCAGGGTATATACAAGACGAGAAATGATTCTCGACAAAAGAAGATATGAGATAAAGTTCACACAAAACTTTTTCCCACCGGATGTCTGCGTTTCCGCCCTCTGTAGGCGTTGAGGCTAAATCAAGATCACTCGGTCGACGAGTTCAAAGGTCGATAAGGATATTATGCAATAAACAATAACTTTTCCTTTCTACAGAAAAAAGAAAAGAAAAGAATAGAACAGCAAGCGAACCTGTCCACTGCATAAATGTTCCGTCCAGCGAACGAATCTAACCCAGGTAGTCCGCGCGCACGCTTGGATTCAGTGCAATCTTTCTCGCTTCACTGCCGCAACACGCACGCTTCATGCCCGCCGGTCCAGAAAGTGGAACGTTGTAATTAAGAGCATGCAGTTGGGCAGCCGTGAGAGATTGAGTACGCTTAGGCCCAGCGTTCAGGAACAGATCAGCCATGTTTCCATCAGGCAACACAGTGCCTTCACTGATGGTATTGGCGTGCACCAAGTGACGGACGTGGTTCTGCAACGCGAAATCATCTGATCCGGCGCGACCGCGTTTCCGACACTGGCGCTGGTTTCCACTCTGTTGGCTCGTCTGGGTAGCACGAGGAGCGGAACCAGACAATGCACAGAGGCTCTGGGCAGCCTCATGAGCGGATGTCATATCAACAGGAGTTCCCAAGGAGAATTTAGACAGGTCCGAAACGTGTCCAGTAGATCCAGTAAAGCTTTCGGGAGACTGATAAATGTCATTGTAGGAACTCTCGTCGATGGGGGACGCAATGGTCACGGCCTTCCGGGTCTCCTTCATCGAGTTGTTAGTACATCTAAGGGTAGCCTGAATGGCCAGACGAGGCAGGACAGGGCCCGATGTAGTCGAAGACATCGAAGAGGACCGAGACGAGTTGGCAGACAGAGTCGAGACATCCGAAACCATCGAATCTGGCGAAGACGCAGAGGAGGTCGAGCGAGCCAAAGAAGACCGGCGTATCATGGTCGGGTAGCCATCAAACGAGCCAGTCTTCGGGCAAAACGGAAGCGACGGGCGCTGGTCGAGGGTCGACCGCGCCATGCACATGTTTTGCGCCTGGGACATGGCAGCGCAGAAATAGCGCCGGTGAGATGAGAAGGAGCCAGCACTCGCAGCAGGAGTGGAGGCCATGCTCGACTGGGGCGTCAGCTGCGGGGTAGGCAGCGTAGGAAGCCGTGGCAACGACGGAAGGGATACATTGAAGCTGTCAGCCCGAGAGGCTTGCTCAAGAGTTGTAGGAGTCCGCTTAAGAACAGGCGTCTCCGATGGGATGGTGGAGGGTTCACTCGCGAAAGTAGGGAGGAAAGAGCCTCCCATGGAGGCACCCCGAGGAGACGGAGAGCCTGCCATCGATCCGGAATCGGAACCCTCCATGCTCGTGGGAGTCATCGGCTCCATGTCGATTTCTTCCAACTCAGGAGTAAGTCTTGGGATGACTGTCCGCCAAGTCTGGCCTTCGCCAGGAATGCAACCAGCACCAGGAGTATACTTCAACACAATATCAGTCCACCGCTGGAAAGTGGCTTCGGGGATGTGTAGTTTCCAATCCACTGCTTGGAGAAACATCAACTCGTTCTGGTTGATCTCCAATGTATTCAACCCAGAGATTTTGCTCCAAGCGCGGGCGGAGTAGTTTCGGTCCTGGAGGTATTTGGAGGCAAGGATCAGGGCGGCAAGAAACATGCGTCGACCACACTGCATAGCCCGACAGACGGACTTACTCCGAGTCTGGTCATGGGCCAAATCGTGACTGGGCACGTGTGGCTTGATCTTGATCAAATAATACAAAGCCACTTGCAACGTGCTGTAACTGGTCCGGGACCGGCGGAGCGTCTCCTGGATAAAGGTGCGCAGAGGCAAAACCCCTTTGCAACCTGTAGTCGAATCACTTCGGAGCGCTACGGCGGACAAGGGCCAGATGGTCTCGACGATCTGCGACGCGGTGTCTTGATAGATACAAATCTTTAGCTATGGGATCGTACCCAACAATATCCGACTGCACTTACCGACGAGGTTGTCGACAAAGTTCACTTTACGCTCCGACTGACGCAGCAGACAGGGCGGAGGCCGCGCGCAGGACACGCCGTTGGACTGGATACCGCTGTTGGTACGCCGCGGATGCCGACGCAATTCCGGAGGAACGGCCACATCCACAGCCTTCACAGCGTTGCCCCTCAAGGGTGCACGCGAAGGGCCCAGTCCCCTTCCTGCTGTTTGGTACTCACCGTCATTTTCCCAGATGACATCAACCGGGTTCGTCGAGGCGGAAGAGATGGATCCGTGGGAGGACACTCTATCGAGAGAGAACACCGACGACGAAGAGGAAGATGCGGAGGAGGAAATCGACGATGCGTAAGGGTGCGCATACGACGCTTTGTATGAAACACTAGGGTTTGGTTCTTTCAAACCCAAAACGTCAATCCCTGTCATATTCCGGAGAGCTATCCAGATGTATGACCTGATTTACTTCAAGCAGCAAGTAACTCAAAAGACCAATCAGGTGGACGGCAAACTTGTGTGGAGTTATCCGACGCAAGACCAAAGATACGGCAAGGTGCGCTCGTTCAAAAACCGTGAGAAAATCAAATATACCGTTGTGCAATAACCGTTAACGAGACGCTGTAAGACAAGAACCGTCTTTTATTCACAGGCGACGGCAGGCCTTCGAAAAAGAATTCGCCAGGGTGTATGGGTATCAAAAATAAAAGGGTGGAAAGATCGGGGGGTTATAAGGTCATTCAACTATAAATTGAATGTCAAGGGAGGTCGGGTAGAGGATGAGGACGTATATCGGGTTTTAGGGTAGGACGTATGAGGTGTAAAAAATCGAAGGGAGGCGCAAACAAAAAGTATTGTACCGATCACCGGTTGTAGATTCCAGGGCAGATCAACCGAAGTAACGTACGACAAAAGACACGTAGAAAGCGTATCGGGTCCACGCGACTTCCAAGACGACAGGTGCTGTATGAGTCAATCGATCTAGATGAGAGTAACAGACTTGTCGGACTTTCGGAGATCAAAGGCGGAGGATTCTGCAACACAGGTGACCGGAACAAAGTATTTCGAAACAACAAGGTACATCTTGATACTGTGGGGAGTATGTAGTTATAGAAAAGAGCCGCTACGACGGCGGACTGTTAGCAAGCAGGCAGATCCACTTGTGTAGACTGATGCTTGTCCAGGCAGTCAGCTGTCTGTCAAGAGGCTCTTAAGAGGCGATCGACTTGTAGTCTGATGGCGAACAAATACAGTCAGCAACTATGGAAATCCCCAGTTTTTCATATGCTTATGACTCTTCCGTAGTCAGGGAACCGCAGGTGCGCTGCCTATTCTTTGGAGGGCGGAGCGGCAGACTAGGGAAATGACTAACTGGGGGGCGACCCAGTCAGGAAGCAGGAAGTGGAAGGGAAGAGCAGACAAAGGGGATGGCGAAATTTCAAGATCAGGGAGGAAATTCGGCCAGTGGCACCAGGGAAAGGGAATGATATGGAAGGAACGTGACTAACAAGAAGATTCTCTTATGAGGGAATGGGGGTTACTCACCGTGGCCTGTGGCAAGAGTGGCGGAAACTGAGGAACAGAGCGGACCGCAGGGACCACGTTTTTCTGCCAGAACGACAAGCTCGAGAAAAATAGAAATCAACTGATGAGTGGAGAGGCAAATGACAAAAAGGAAAACAAGATAAATCGACTAATAGTCACAAAAATAAATCATATGGGAGATGACTCTTTCCCCAAAGAAAAAAAAGAAGAGCAGAAGAAGAGGTTGTCCGTCCCTTCTTCAGAAAGGATGACTGGTAGAGGAAAAGGAAGAGTCGTAGGAAAAGAGGGAGAGAGGAAGAGAGTCTGTCAGCCCTGTTGGCGGTAGTGTTCTGAGTCGTACAGTACGGCGACGGGCGGGCGGTACTTAGAGGTTCAGGGCGCAGGGACGACGATCGGGAACGGATGATACAGTATGACTCTTTCACTGTCCACCCGAGATAGGGAATTCTGGGCCCGAATTGGGCATTTCATTGCAAAGATCCGCTTTTATTCTTTTTTTACTTTCTTATTACATTTTTCTTTCACATCAAGACAAATCATCATGTTGGGCTTGATCATCTGGTGCTTTCAGATTTGATTGGAATTGTAATCATCCCCCGTTGACATTATTCATCGATTCGATCTCCGGCTTTGATGTTACTCGGTCACCATGCAATACGGTCACTTTTTGCAGTAGTGTCAAAAACTTAAGGGCCGCTCTCGCTCAGTTCCATGCATCATGATATTACTCTTAATAA